AGGGAGAAGGGAGTGCGGCAGAACTGCGTAGCATCCGACGCGCTCTAAATTAATCCAAGCGCAAGTCACTGCCCTTACGCTCATTTCGTGGGAGATGCGATGGACTTCGTCGCCTGACACGGTCAAGCTGTCCTATTTACCGGGGTTCGCCAGCCTGGTTCTCTTTTCCCAGTCAGTGCGCCCCGTATGACAAAACGGGGTCGAGACGGCAGTGGCTAACCAACAATTTCACACCTGTATCTCGGATGGCAGACACGTTGCGGTTCCGCAACCGACTGCAGTCGCTCGGTTATCTTATCTGCGGGGCCTGCAGTCTGGCTCTCAATAGCAAGCGCCAAGACATGTGGACAGCCTTCCGATAGTTGGCGCCTCAGGTTTTGCAGTTGTTTACCAGCGCGTCATCGTGAGGGGAGGTTGCTCATAGTTAGCCTTCTCTTTGCGCCTGATACATGTTGAACTGTGCGGGCACCTCGATGACGAGACAGAATGCTGATCAGACATGTTCCAAACCCACTGAGGCGGTTCAGCTGGCACAAAATATCCGGAGCGTTTCGTTAGTGCAACCACTGGAGACTCATGAGTGTTGGATCTGGTGGAATTAAGCCGGTGAGAGAAGTCATGTTCGACCGCTATATGGGAAAAGGCGCGCTTTAGACAGTAGCTGAGACGGAGAGTGGAACACGAGTCTCATTCACCTGACATCCGTGGTGCAATTCAAGATTGACAAGACCGAGGTCCTCGCATGAGGAGACACCCGCGCAAGCCACGAGTCATGGTTCTTCTGCCAAAACACGCAAAACTCTCCATATTCAGTCCTAAAACCGCCCGGACGGAGGACTTAATCGCCTTGGGGGAGGGGGGGGGGGGGAGCACGGACTGAACGCTCTCTTGATTGACATTGTTGGTGGACGAAATCGTATCAGCTAGCTGGGCCGGTGATTAAATCTCGGCCATTATCAATACTAAAGTGGGTGACTAATCTATTGTCGCGCCAGGTGCGAACACACCCGCAATGAATGCGACAGCCAGTAATCCCAGTAGCAGTGTGGCTGTGTATCATCAGCATCCCAGGCACGTTACACTCGTTGAGCGTTTGTCGAGGTCCCTGGTAATGGCGTCGACAGTAAATCCTAAACTTCAAACAAATAAAGTCCTTGTTCCAACGATAGAGTCTCCTTTTTCTCAGGTATTGCTCCAGCTGATTGGAGATCTTTCCTTGCCCTCCCTCGCCTCCCATCATTTTCTCGCGTGCACGCATCTGATAACAAAAGTAATTTTTGCATCTATGTCATCTGCCTGTTTACCTGTCCTCCGCAAATCATGTGTTTCAGAGTTCGCGCTGTCTGGGACGCCTTCATTAGTCTGACAGAGAGGAAGCAGATTGAAATCCTCGGCTCCCTGCCCTATCAAAGAGCCGGCTGTTTTCTGGGTAGTGAGGAGGAAGAGGAGGAGGAGACAGCTGACGGTTCGCGACCTCGACGGGTTGATAAGAATATCAACAATGCTGCCGTTTCTGACAGTCGAAGGACCCGCCGGCCGAGGTGTCGTCCGCGTCGCCAGCACCGTGGGAAACCGCACGTTCGCCTTGAGGACTCATTGCCTGATGTAGAGCCCTTAGGTACGTATCTGAGCACCTACGCATCCTCCCGTTGTGACTTACGCCGTTGTGCGGCTGCTAGTTGAGCTCGAGAGAGAGAGAGCCCGTAAGGCACAACAGGACGAGTCCACGCCTCTAACCACTGGCCACGAGCCCGTTGCCCTGTCAGTTTCGATCGGGAATATACTATAGTAGAGGGGGCGCTCACCGATCGTTCTTACGGAAGTCACTCGTTTCGTTGTGCCTTACGGGCTCTCTCTCTCTCGAGCCCAACCAGTAGCCGCACAGCGGCGCATGATATAGGCAGTATGTTATTACCGACACAGACAATGGGGACTGGGATGGCCAGTTCTGGCTTACTAGCCGTCGTCAGCCAGTCATACTCACCCGTTGGACATCGAGCCTCAGGTGTTCCACACTTCGGGGTTGGGTATGACTGACTGACGACGGCTAATAAGCCAGAAATGGTCACTCCAGTCTCCCTTGTCTTTGTCGGTAATGCCATTCTGCCTACATCATGCGCCGCAGTGCGGCTGCTAGTTGGGCTCTAGGGAGAGCTCGTAAGGCATAAAGGAACGAGTGAGTTCCGTTGTTGGTTTATTCTGCCCTAATTCAGCCAATCATAACCCAAAGCAGCAGCTGAGACTAGAAACAAAAACATGCGCACAGACGCATCTGGAGCAGTTGGTCCACCACTGGGGTCTACCAGATGGGTCATAAGCACATCATCGAACCGAAGTTCATCAGTGCCTCGCCACACACATAGGTATCTAGCTAAGAGTGCAACAAGCCAGACGCAGACAGTTGTTTCACGCTCGTTACCGATCATCAGTACATCATAGGCCTTATGACATGAGGCATATAAGCATGTCAAGTAGGCGTGTGACCCTCATAGTTGTGGTTAGGATCTCACCTTACCCCTTTCTTCCTGCCTGGGCCGCATGATTGCCTCAGACAGTAAAGGATGTGTTACATGACAGTTAGCAAAACAAATAATAAATATTGCACCATGACAAGACACCAATTCACTTCAGTCTTCTGGTTAGGTTGTTTTTTTTCTGGCGAAACAGTGTCGCCATTGTGCTTTAGCCGCCCTAGTCCCCTGACCTAGTGACAGATGACCTTCTCGCTTACCCTAAACTACGAGTTCTCTCATAGGACTCAGATCTAAAATAACAAAAGTTAGTCTGCTTTCGTAAGTACACACCTTGTGCAGGATTTACCTCTTTCACAATTTCCTTTTCTTCGTCTGAAAATGCACCTATTTTCTTGAGAAAGATTATCAAACTTGCTGGAGTGCACCAATCAATACTCCAATTTGTTGTCGCAGTTTTGCGGTCCACCATGAACTCACGAGAACTTACCAGCTTGTTCAAGTAAGCTTTTGCCAGTCGAAAAAGTGAACTAAATATCATGGATTGAAAACGTACTACCTTCTGTTGTTATGAATGTTCCGGGAAAGGTCAGCTGCCAGAAGAAATTCATTCACATGTATTCTGTTAACGCATTCGCCGAAAGAACGGAGACCTGCTCTCCTAACATTTATATGCGTGACATTTTGTCAGCCGACGTCCTGAAGCTAGGGCTGCCCAACGGGTGTTTGCAGTTTTGTCGGTAGTTTGGTCTTCTAAAGGTAGTGTGTATAAATGGCTTACCACCGAATATGCTACCTTGTTAATTACCGGTGCCTTCTGTGTGTGATCCCGATATTCATTCAGAGCGCCAGTAAGGGTCTTATCGCCGTCTAACTGCCTTGACACATGCCCTCACTGAAGTTTTGAGTAGTATTCGAGGGGCTTATTCGTAAATCACAAGCACATACATCGCTGAATGTGCCAACAGTTCCCCATTTTGCATCCTCTAGACTTTCGAGGCTCCGCTTTTCATTATAGTTTTGTAGAAAGGAGTTTTGATCACCGACCGTCCTCCGAGAAGTGACTTATTCACAAAACTTTTCGGAGTTGACAAATTCATCAAGAGCTATGTACACAGACTACTGTAATTAACAATTCAGCCGTATTGCGAATCAGTGCGGAACTTGCTTCATGTAGAGTTCGACTCCAGTCTGTTGTCCGCGTTTCTGGATATCTCAAATTAACGTATGTACAAGTGAAGAAGAAGAGGGTTGGAGCACCGGAACATTTTGTTTATTGTCCTGAGCTTTCGAATTCGTGCAGAAGCAGCAACAGAACAAGCGACAGTTATAGGGCATGTAGGCCAATCATCCACCAACGGCGCAAGACTGGAGGTGACTACGCAGGACTCTATACACCGGCGCAGATCGATAAATCGATTGACTGAGTTCTCTTCCGAGGCCCAGGCTTAAATCAATTCTCGGCCTGTCGTGTTTCCGGAGTGGGCAACCATTTTGGTTGTTGTGATGTTAAACTCATTACCCATTTGGTAGGTGTGGGCGGCCACTTGTGATGATGCGTCGGCTCGTCTCTCGGCCAATTTATGTTCGTGTATGCGCGATCCGAGCATGCGTCCAGTCTGCCCTGTGCAGTTACGAGGACAGTTTTGGCACGGGATGCGGTACACCACTCCAGATTGCTCTTCAGGCTTTAACCGGTCTTTAATTTTCATTACCCTTTTGCGCATGGTGGCTTTCGGGGGGGGGGGGTGCAATTCCAACACCTAGCTCCGCAGCAATGCGGCAGCAAATGCCATATCGTCGATGGTGTTGTTGTTTAAGTCCTCTGATTGGCCTACTTGCCCTATAACTGTCGCTTGTTCTGTTGCTGCTACTATATCTGACGATGGATTCTCGCATGTGTCCGAAAGCTCACGACAATAAACAAAATGTTCCGGTGCTCCAACCCTCTTCTTCTTCAGTTATGCATACACCTGGAACTAGAAATTTCGCCCTTATTCGGAACGTATGTATTGTTTCTAAAAGGCAGTCATACCATGTCATGCCTTTTTGCGCAATTACAATATATTTCAATACGTCTGCACACGCGTTTGATAACTTTAACCTCTCCACCCGGCTTTGCAGATTCAGCTGATGTGTTGGACCTACTGGACGCGTCTACTGTCGATCCAACGGCACTAGCAGGTTTCCATGAAGGGCAGGAGGAACAGCACCAGTCTATGGACTGTGATGTTCCGTCGCAAGGACCTGCAGAGGGTGACTACAACTCGGACACCGAGGTCTGCAGACCGCCCTCTGTAGGCTCCATCTCGCCTAAGCTGATGGCCTTCATCAAGACCTCTGCGCGCCTTATGGCGGCAGATGCCGGTCGTGGCAGCAAGAAGCGCCATTTTTCCGTACAGGATCTCTGTCTCATCCAGCGGGTTGAAGATGAGCTCAGGACCACCTTTGCAACTGCCCCAGCAACAGGGTCGCAAACTGCCGCAGGTGATCGGCGATGGACGCCATCAACTAGCCTTCTACTGCCTCTCAAGGAGGCGGCGACTGCCGCGGACGACGTGAATCGCATCGGTGCCGGACGGCCTCTGGTGCTGAACGGTTTTCATCGTATGCTTGTCCACGCCACTGCCGCCTACCTTGGTTTAGTCTCTTACAGTAAGTACTTGCAGGCTGCGCACTCTGGACGCTGTTTTCGCCTGACCGTGAAGCGGATTAGTCGACTTGTACAGTAGGTGTGCTAACTCATTCGACTCGAAAAGATAACATAAGTAGAGATGTAATGTTGGTCATCACACGGCATCATACCATGATAATTCAGTTACCTCAGGATGCCGGTTTTCGAATGAACTTCTTTCTGGCTGCCAGCAAGAACTACAGCTCGTAAAAAATGACTGCTTAAGTAGCGTGATTTTTTTCACTGTTTTTCGATGCCTTTATAAACTCAAATATTCTTCATAAAAAACATGAATAAAAATATTCATTCTTTTACTCATCTGGTAGAAAATTGAGTCTTCTTCAAATTTTATACTTAAAGGAAGGGTAGAATTCGGTTTTAAAAAATTTTCCAATTCCGGCATAATTTTGAACCCGACCTGCCGATACGCTTGCATTCCGGGTTTCGAAAGTGCTGTTTGTATATTTTCCGTGTACGGACAGTCATACATTTCCATGTGCTTTTAAGAGAAGGCCATGTCGAGTTCATTAAATTTTTCAGTGGACTTGAGCCATATGGTAAACTTTATAAGCAACATTAGTAAATGCAGAGACACTGAACGGGAATTTTACGGTCTTGAAAAATTTCATAATTAGAAACTTTGTTAAACCCGAATTCTACCCTTCCATCAAGTATAAAATTTGAAGAAGACTCGCTTTTCTACCAAATGAGTAAAAGAATGAATATCTTTATGCATGTTTTCTATGAAGAATATTTGAGTTTATAAAGGAATCGACAATCAATGAGAAAAGTTCACGCTGTTTAAGTAGCCTCTTTCTTCACAAATTGTAGCCCTTGCATGCAGCCGGGAAGAAGTTCGTTCGAAAGCCGGCATCCTGAAGTAACTGAAGTATCATGGATTATATTGTACGATGGCTAATATTACAAACCTATCAATGTAATCTTTTCGAGTCGAAAGCGCATTTCAGAATTTCGATTGACATTTCATGAGTTAGCACACTGTTATGACCCGGAAGAAAGGTAGGACAGGAAAAGAGCCGGTTCGGAAGACGAGCACTTTATTGGTAACTTGCGGACACGAAGGGTTCCAACTCGTCAAAAAGATGCGCTATTTATGTTGGCTCCTGTGCGTTCTGGAACATTCCGTCCAATGACGTGCCAGCCGTTGAGGGCGTTCTAGAATGTTCCTGCCGCGGGCGTGCTGGTCGCTGATTGGCCACCGCGTGCACGATAGCCCCCACGCAGAAACGTCTCAAATGTTCGACCAGCCATTGATTGGGCCACACACGTGAGCAAAGCCACCACACGTGTCCGGCGCTGCAGTGCACGCCGGTCGGTCGTCCAACTTCACGCGTGTCTCACACCGCCGGCTTGGTCCTCTGTTCAGCTCCTTAGGCCATGGCTCTACGCCGCTTGCACTCCCCACAACACACACCTACTGTATATCCTAACAGAGATGACAGTTCGACCATCGCAAGCGATGGCGTCCACCGCGCGCGGTCCACGGAGTGGGTGCGGCACCGTTTATTTGCACGTGCATTATTTTATGGCGGGGCGGGCTTGCAAAGCATCTGCCTCACCCGTCTTCCATAGTCCACCTTCTTCCTGTAGCCAGACAGTGTTAAAACGTCCAGAGGTTGACTCGGATGCAGTTGCTGGCAAAGCCAAACAGCTCGTGTACGCGTGCCGCACTCGCGACCGGATTCCAATACATTTGCTGAGCGCTTCTAAGGGCGGCTCGAATCTCATGTGCACGAGAGTGCCAGAGACTGCATTGATAAGGAGCCACTACAGCCTGACTCTCAGTCCTCCTGTCAGTCAAAAGAACTCACCGCGATGACCGTGCTATCCCGTCAGTGGGCAGACTTCCAAGCCACGACTCTTAGCACTTCGTGCTACCTGCACAGTGTCGGCCTCGGTCTCTCATCCCTCTCCCGTGCACTGCCAGTCGACTGTCCGAGCCTGTCAGTTAGCTGGCGATGGGATCGGGCGTGTTGGATGACATATCAGTGGTGGACCCGTTAAGGCAGATGCAAATGGAGCGCCACTTACTACTAGGCACTAAATCAGCGTCCACAAACACACGGAGCGCATACTGTCCGCCCGTCAGAGTCGGTGTTGGTATTCTTTAGATTTTCTCGGTTCAGTGCTGGTTTATTCACCGGAATAGACGCACTCGAGGCCAAAGGCTATGTCAAAAGACAGTCGAAGCAACTCCGATATTCTTTGTTGTTCTATAGTAATAAAGAGTAAGATTAGCGGAGCACGAGAGAGTTAATAAGGCGGGAAATAAATTGAAAAGTGGACATACATTCGAGGTGACTAGACGAACAGTCAGCGAGTGACACCAACGTGTGGTGGCCGGTTTAAAAGCGAGTGGCAACAAAGAACAATGAACAAAGAACTTCGGGAACCGACGAATTGGGATGCAGAAACAAGCGCAAGATTATAAGAGTAAAACCTGGTTACTAATAAACAGTTAGTAGCAAAATAGGGATACTAAATTGGCACCAGGGTTGTCACAGTTGATGTGTCAGCAGCACTGCAAGACAGGTTCTGGTATTGTTTACGTGTGGTGGTGTCCTTTTACCACCAGCACTATCGGAGGACAAAGCTGGTGTGCTTTCGAATACCATTTAGATCATCGCGCGATCTACCAGTAATGCCACAAATGAGCCCAACCACTGTGTCGGCTGCACCTTTAAACAGCAGTTTACTCTTTGTGTAGTGGATTGGCTATGTATTCGCACTTAAGATTGACCCAGCATTTGTAAACATGCGCCCTGTGTGTATCTCGTCAGTCTCTGTTCGGTCTTGACTGCCACAACGGACTGCGCTGCGGATGCGCTAGACGAAAACAGGGGTCAGACTGGCTTACGGCGCACGGATATTGGTCTGCAACGAGTCCGTCCGAGCTCTTAACTCATTTAACACATGCGTGTGATAGCACACCTTAGATGCTAGGCCTTTGCGCCACGTTAGCCACTGTGCACAACCAGCAGGTTAGCAGGCTCAGAGAGAGAGAAAGAGGGAAGGGGGAGGCCGACACCGTGAAGTTCATCCTCACATTTTTCGCATTAAGCAGTCTAACGCGCTAAGAGTCATGGCTTGGAAGGCTGCCAACTGACGATATAGCTCGGCTCTTATCGGGAATGAGACTCCTACCAAAGTGGTCTCTATGACGCTAAACTTTGCGAGGTCTGAGCCGCGCTCGTGAAAGCCAGGGAGATCTAATTGGGGACCCGGTCGTGTGTGTGGCAGGCGTAGACGGGTCGTTTGGCTTTGTTAGTCTCTGTACCCGCGTCCATTTTCCGTCGTTTTGATACTGACTTGCGATAGACACTGCGTAGGTCAACCTTACAATGAAATAGTTAACGTCCAAGTCGCCGGGGCTGCGATGACAGAGCATCGACATCCCTTAGTAGTGTCGATTCCCTCGTGTTCGAACGGCCAGTCCACGCGGCCGATACGGTTAAAGGGGTTTGGTCGTTGCGACTAACGCAACTCTGCGGGCCACAGATGTGAGGTTAGCGCCAGAATCGAACCACTACCACTACTGTTGTGCATTTCTTACGTCTTCCTATCCATCAGAGTGGCCAGCCCTATTTGAGTACCCCATGCCCCTCACTATCTGAATAAGGCTGAGTAAGACTGACTGTTCGAAATGTAACTCTCCGTTGCCGGCGTAGCTTCGGCAGCGTCGCTTACCTCTCGATTTTGCTTTTGTATTCACTCCCTCGTCCTCTGCCGTAGACCTTGAGCACTGAGAGTCGCACTTACCTCGTTTGTTAATAGAAGCAAAGAGACGTGTTCTTTTGTCAGACTCCGCCTCTGGTGATAGGTCTGAGTGAGAATCCGAAACGTTGCAGTGATTGTGCCGTCTACTTCCTTTGTGTCTGTTTGTCGTAGACTATTGCAATACTCGGGCCGACAGTGTTCGGGCGTCGGCGCTGCAGCAGTTTTTTTTGGACTGACTTCTAAGCACACGCTATTCCCCCTCGGTCAGATGCCTGCCTGTTCGCTAGGTTTCCTCGAACAACACGCGTGGAACTCGGGATGGAGTCGAATGCGGCCATGGCAGTTCAAAACTCTTGCGGCCAGTCCAACTGCAAACGTCCACCTAGTGCTCGCGGGCAAGGCCTGGTGAGCTCGCGGCGCCGTGTCAGGCTGCTGACAGTTGCAGGGCTAAACAGACTGGATGGGTGGAGGCCAAGAGAAAGCAACTACCTACCAGGCCGCACTCGTCCAAGATATGCCGGCGGATTAGCGTGCCAACGTTAGAGCGCTGTTTCCGCTCTATCATACCTGCATTTAATGGCGTTAAAAATGCCTACTAGAAACTCCAAAGTAGGTGTGTTTGTTATAGTGCGAACTGTCTCTAGTTGTACAAAGGGTGACAAAAACCGGACTTCCCCTGCTTTTCATCAACGAAGGAACCATTGCAGTTTTACGGGCCAGACTCGCCATCACGTTCCAGCGCCCTGAAAGCTGACCGTATACCTCCACGTGGGCGCCTTCATTTTCGAAAACATTCGGCCATTTTCGGACACAGGCCTGTCCAGCGTTTTATGGCACTTCTTTCCTGACTTCAATGCCGGCCATGCAGATGCCTTCCTCAAACTTAATGGCATAAACCCTGACTTTGATGTAGCCTCGGTTAAAGACTTCATAAGGAGTGGGGTCAGGGGAGCGCGGAGAGACCATTCCAGAGTACCCCTTTGACCGATTCATCGGCCGAGAAATTTCTCACTAACCTGGAAAAGCAAGGGGAGGCTCGTCATTTTGAAAAAGGACACTTCCCGCTTAAAGCTGTGCGGTAGCACACTTCTGCAGCATCTCCAGGTAACTTCCCCTGTAACGGTGATCGTGTTACCGGAAGAAGAATGACCTACGCTGCCGAGTGGTAGACATAGCACGCCTAAACCACCAGCTGCAGAGGGTCTCACCCATACTTCAGAATTGCTGCTGGGTTTTTTATTTTTCCTAACTTCGACACTTGTGTCGGTTTGTGTGACCGGGGAGATGAAGGATAGACTCATCGCTGAACCTTAAGTTTCCGAGGAGCTGAGGATCGCTTTGGCAGTGGAAGAGGAGTGATTCACATAATCATGATCATAATATTCTGCCTGAAGGGTTTAAAGAATCTGAAGTCGGTACGGGCGGGGCCTTATCACTCCCAGAAGCATCGACTGAATCGAGTTTTTCTTGATACCGAGTTTCAATTAAGCCCTCCGATAGACTTTTTCTGGCGCTACGCGGACGCCTGTTCTGGCACTTCGTTTCATTTGTCAGTTGTGGTGGTAGTAGCAGGCCTGCCATTGCATGATTTTTCAACAGCTCCTGCTTCCAGAAATTTGCCATGAATAGCCTAAAATGGTGTTACGTGTTGGAAGTTGTATGACGGCCACAAAGTTTGTCAAACTTGCGCTGAACTGCAGTCGGGGAATGATGTGCTTAAAAAACTGCGAAGTTTAATCTGTCGATTGTTGGGAGCACCCGTATTAACGCTATCTCTTGTTTAATACTACTTTCCGCGAACAAGTACTAAGTCACCTTTTCTCCTGTTAGTTTACTAACTTTCCGTTTTCCTGTTTTTTAGAAGTTCGGTAAGATTTGGTTATGTAACCGCATCTGATGGACACAATACTGTTAGGTTTGGGGTAAGGGTTAGGAGTTAGGGTTAGGAGCTATGGTTGGGGGTTAAGGCGACTGTTTCTCAACCGCTCAAAGTACAACCATGCATTGCCAATAGCTTTTATTTCGCATACAACTACTTGACCTCGTCGCCTGTGCGTTCCCCGGCCCCACCTGTAAAAACCCCTATTACCACCGGTCCCGTATTGCAGGTGGCTGGGGTTTGTTTACCTCAGGTGGTGCTACGTAACCTCATCTGACCAGAAGTTGTTTTATCCGTTCAGTATTGTTGGCCCAGTTTGTGGTCTTTGCCAGGTCTTAGTTCATGCTGGTTGACCAACAGATGTTTTATGCGCTCATGTCAGTCCTGAATGCTTTTAATCAATTCCAACTCGAGGGAACTTTTTTCCGCGACATTTGGACCTGCGCTTGTTCAGGCCATCGTTTCCCGTCCCAACCCCGCTCTGGATGGTATACACCACCCTGCGTCTTCAGCGAAAGCCAATTTTTCTGACGGCCGGTATGCGGGCTAGGGGGGTGGGACATGATCCAGTGCGTGTGCTGGTAATGAATGCGTCCGCAAATTTTTTTACCATCTGGTTTTCCCGCCTCTGTTTTCTCTGGTGTGTGTGTGTAGACTATGCTTCAACGGAATTTGAACCTCCTCAGCACCGGATGTGAAAACTTCGCAGTTTACTTTTAGACGATGACTACGCATCAACTGGTGCCAACTACGCAATATCCAGAGGCAAACATGGATACCCCGCTGATTAGTTCTTCGCCGTCGTGGAAAAAATTATCTAATTAATGGTGATGGTGGTGGTGCAGTATGCGGGTGAATCCTAACCCATGATCCGATTATTGGCCACCTGAAACCCCCGTTGTGGGATCGGTGCAGCATCCAGTTGTCCTCAAAGTTGGCATAACTAGCACCGTTATGTAAATTCCTGCGCTGGCATTCACCTGTGCCCTCCCCAGCCTCCGGTCTTCTTGACTCTTTCTTGACACCGAGCCCAGGTGGGGGAGGAGGATAAAATGCGGTAGATGCTGTGCAAGTCCACTGACACTATAAACTAACACACGCACAAGTCACCGTTCCTGCATCACCTTTTTGTGGAGCACACGGTGGACATCGTACGACAACGACGCTCGAACTGTCGCGTGCATGGCTGCCCAGTCACCTACGTCCTTTCTGTTGTTGTTGGTCAAAATCCTGATCAAGTGTTTGTTATGGACCAGGGGATGTGGAGTGGAGTGCCACGGTGCGGGTTTGGCCGCGCCATCTACCTGTGCTCTCCGTGCCCCGCCGGTTTTCTTGACTCTGTCTTGACATCAGGTCCAGGTGGGGAGGAAGAGAGTGTGCTAGATGTTGCGCAAGTCTACTCTCACTGTAAACTAATTTGCGCACAAGTCACCGTGTCTGCTTCACCTTACTGCGTAGCACACGGTGGACTTCGTCGGATGTGACAGTCGAACTACCATCAACACACAAAAGGGTGGTGGCTTTGCTTGCAGCAAACTCAACCACGTCTATCTGAGCTGCTTTTAAAGTTGAAGTGATAGATGTGCGTGTTAGGCGGGCATCAGAACTGGCTCGCGTACACAACATCGTCAAAGTGGGATAAGTCTCCTTGTGACGATAACATTGTGTTGATGGCAGAAAGGCAGTGGATTAGGGTGGGGATGCATTTGAAGCTGGGGAGCAAACCGTGGAGGCAAGCGTAGATCGGCCGCAGATTGCAGACTGAAAATGCGGTACACAGCTATCTGCAAAGCAATCTGAATGCTACATGCTGCAGACGATTGACAACAGCCAAAAGCCGCGACTCGCACCATCTCCGACCAGTCGCATTCGCCGTCATTCGCTGCTGGCCATTGCTGAAGGACATCATTGGACTTGGTTGGCGTCTTCGAGTGGCTCGTCTTGCTGACAGGAATCTATGACAGCCTTCAGCATGCGGTGACTAAACGGCCATGTGAGTTGGTGGTTTGCCCAGGAAAGTCGCATAAACCAAAGTATTCTCCTGTTGTATATTTGATCAGGTGATGGCACTACCCACTTCTGATGGACGACTAATATTCAAAAGAAATCATTGCACTGCCTCGCAGTACACACGAAACGGGGCCAAGGTTCGCACAGAAACTAGCTATTTCCCTCAATTATAGCGTGCCCACATTGACCTTTGAGTTTTGTCAGATATATTGGCCGTACAACCAGGCGTCTGGAAAAGAGAATACGCGAACACATGCCTGCCTGGCTAGGTAGAGGTGAACATCGATCGATTTCGAGTTCAATTCTCGCACATCTAATCGATACGAACCATCAAACCGACGCTAAAAAAGGTTTTAAAGTTATCTACCGGGCACCCGCACACCACTCTAAAGGCCTGCGCAAACGGGTGCTAGCGACAGCCGAAGCAGTGGCCATTCGACTGGCGAACCCAGCACTCTGTTGTCAGTAGACGCTGACACAAGCAGTCTGTCTGCCCTGGCCGACTCCAGACGTTGATCGCACGCCGTCCCGACGCACTGAGAACAGTCACACGCACTCACAGCGCCTACAATCTAACCGGAACCCCTCTACTTCCCCCCCTCCCACCCCAACTCCATCGTCCTCAACACGCTGACTCCGTCATGCGGGCGGTATGGGCGGCGATTAACCCTACCCCCGAGACGCATTTATACCCTGTCGACAATTAGACTGATCATTTCCCTTGTAAATGTACAGGCCTGATGAGGAATTACCGAAAACCTATGTTAACCAATTAACTTTTCAATATCTCAAAGCGCTGTGTCCGACTGAAAAAACGGCTCCACTTCAAATGGAAGGTCTGCAGATGTCGACAAAATCCCGTCTGTTGTCGAGGCACTCCTTTTTGATTTTAACAGTCACTCGCAGATCTCTTCCTTCCCTTGGGATGATTGCCACTGCCAAGTAGGGCACCGCCTAAATAGCGCACGCACTTTTTGACCAGTCAGCTAGCCGTGGCCGGAGAAACGCTTTTTTTTCAGTTCCCCTTAGTCATACATGGTTTAAAACTCGCCCCTGTCCTTGGTCCCAGGTCTGTGACCTGAAGGGCGTCGACGATGACCGTCTATCTCCCAGCCGCCTGCCCTGACCTCAATCCGCCGTGAGGCGCACGCATTCGACAGAACACGCCGGGGCCAGTCTGTCTCCGCTGCAGCTGCTGCTGTCGGCGGCAGCGGCAGGCAGAGGTGTTTAAGCAAACCGGTCTGATAGGTCTGCGCAACAACCGTCTGGGCTGGACGCCTAACGCCGGCGCGACCTGGCGTGCGCGCGCGCCGGGCAGCAAAAGTCCTTTTACTGCCAGTCGCAGACGTCATTCGCGCGGTGGCGACTACCTCTGCTATCGTGTGACTGCGACCGGCCAGAGCGGCATGGATTCCACTGTCTCGTAGCGCCGTTTGTAGACGAGATAGAAGGAAGCAGTATTGTCCTTTCTGATGGGAGGATAAATGTGGCTCCTTGGTGTCATATCGGAGGAGGGAGGCCTCTGACATTTGAAGGGGCGACTCCAACCGATCATTATCTCGGATACTGGCGAGTGCAAGAGCGCGGCTTGAGTGTGCTGCGTCGTTTGTCGCCATGACCGTCAGCGCCAATGCTACAGTAGATGTGCTAACTCATGAAATGTCAAACAAAATTTCGAAATGCGTAGACCATGGATCGTGTCATGGATATCAACGGGTCTTTAGTAAAAATTATTTATTTATTTATGATTGGTGATAAGTGGAGTTCTACGGGTGGGGAAGCATACTAGACAATGAGCTGACTAAATGAAGGAAAACACAGAAATCGAGGCGCCGCGTTTTCCACAGTTACAGTACATGTGCTAATTCATGAAGTGTCAACCCAAATTTCGAAATGCATTCTCGTTTCGAAAAGATAAATTAAGTAATGTTGTAAAACTAATCATGATGCAGCATAAATCTATAATAATCCAGTTACCTCAGGGTGTCGGCTTTCGAAAGAACTTATTTTCGGCTGCATGCAAGATCCATACTCTGCAAAAAATGACTACTTAAGTAGCATGCAATTTTCTCATTGATTTTCGATGCCCTTGAAAATTCACTTATATTTCATGGAAGACATGCGCAAGAATATTCATTCTTTTACTTATTCGGTAGAAAATAACGTCTTCTTACAGTTTCATACTCAAAAGAAGAGTATAATTCGGTTTTAATAAACTTTTCTAATTCCTGAATAATTTTGAACCCGACCTGCTGTTACACTTGCATTCAGGGTTTCAAAACTACAGGCTGTATATTTTCCGTGTACGGAAAACCATGCATTTCTCTACGGTGTTAAGAGGAGACCATATGAGGTTCATAAAATTAAGCAGTGGATTTGAGCAATATTGTTAACTTTACAAGCCACATTCGTAAATGCAGATACATGACGTTTCATGAACGGCCATTTAACGGTATTAAAAAGTCTCACAATTAGAAACTTTTTTAAAACCGAATTATACTCTTCTTTTGAGTATGAAATTGGAAGAAGACGTGATTTTCTACCGAATAAGTAAAAGAAGGAATAGTTTTATGCATGTCTTCCATGAAATATAATTGAATTTTCAAGGGCATCGAAAATCAATGAGAAAATTGCATGCTACTTAAGTAGTCATTTTTTGCAGAGTAAGGATCTCGCATGCAGCCCAAAATAAGTTCTTTCGAAAGCCGACACACTGAGGTAACTGGATCATTATAGATTTATGCTGCAGCATGATTAGTTTTACAACACTACTTAATTTATCTTTTCGAATTGAGAACGCATTTCGAAATTTTGGTTGACATTTCATGAGTTAGCACATCTACTGTAATTGCGAACTGTTTCTCGGCTCCGAGAGTTGGCAGCCTACGGAGTCACACGTCGCGCCTGAATTTGCCGCATATTTGGTCGTTTGCTGGTTGGTGGTGGTGGGGCTAAAACACGTCAACTGCGGCTTCGCAGTTAATTAAGCTGGTGCGTGACGGCCACTCCGTACCGTGTCGCCATCAACCAGATCCGCGGTCTCATCGAATACCCGCACTGCAATTACACTGTACACTCGGTAGATTGTAGATGAGGCTTTGCAGGTCGAGACTTTCTCGTTCGGCAGCACCACTTTGCTGCGAAGTGTTGAACTGCGATTTGTGGACGATTTGAACCCTGGGAGATGAAAAGTGTCTGGCCACGGTCTTTGCGATACTCCTTCTACGCACTGCGTACGTTGACATGACACGAGTGAGTTGACATCCCGAATTATGGGACCGCGGGTCCCTCTCAGAGAGTGCTCGTGGAGATTGTAGCGGCCAAACAGCGAGAGTGTACTCAGAGCGCTACAATCGTGAGGCTAGATCTCGGGTTTTATACAGAATCCTGCGGTTTCCTCTCAGGCGGCAGTGACTGCTGGCGAAGCCAGGGTTGGTGTTTACTGCGTCCGATCATGCCTGAGAATCCTCGCCAGAGAGTGGTGGCGGCCACGACGAATGTGCGTCCAAGTTGAAATCGGTCGGGTGGGCTGCAGGTCAGTGCTTCTGGAACCACTGGCTAAGAAAGTGAATGATCTGGCCCAACGGGCTTCGAACATGGGCGCCAGACATGGCCGTGATGGCTGTTGACGACAAGACTACTTCAATTCTAAACGTCCAGCCCCCGCCCCTCCCCCGGAGGGGATTTCACCCCACCTTGTTGAGTAGAATACCGTATTAGATATTCAGCGTCCAGTATAGTGCGCAGTACTCAAGACTTCGCATGCAACAGCGGGTGGCTTCCCTCAAATCGCAGAATCTGTGGTGCGTTTCTCTGTCTTCATAATACACCCAAAGAAACCGAAGAAGTGCAGCCGGTTCTCTTTTCTGGGCTCCGCCCAATAATCATGTTGCAGTTAACGCTACCTCTTCCTCCCTTAGGTTATCAGGGCACCACACTTTTGGCCATCAAAATAGGACTGGAATGTGGTTTTTTTTTCGAAAAATAAAAAACTCATGGTTGGCAGGAAAATGCGGGCGAGAAGCTATCGCATGCAGAAATACTGCAGACCATGGATTGTCTGAAAACAAACTAGTTCTGTATATCGGTTTCTGTGGTGCGTTTCCACGCGCATATAAGGCGGCCGGACCACAGGGGGGGTTCGAATTGCATGGACGTAAACACACAATTGTGCTACGGAGCGGTGAGCCATTATAACGGGTAGTCATCTACGCCGTGATGATGACGCACAGCAGTTCGTCCTCCACAGACGACAGTGACCACCACCACCACCACCACCACCACCACCACCACCACCACCACCACCACCACCAGGGGGTTCCCAACTTGGGGTGCTCGCACCACTTCAGGCTGCGAGGTGGCCTTCTATGGGAGTGCGAGGTAGTATTTCATTTTTTTAATATCAATAGATAATACTTTTTTAAAATAAATTAACTTGAAGCAATATTTCCCCGGAATGAATTTAAAGCAGGCATAGACAGCAGAATTTATTGGAACCAGTAAATTTTGCGACTGCAGCCTGTCGTGGTATAACACAGATTACAAGTGAGAAAGATACAGAGGTTTGGACTTCCACAGAGAAAATCGATGTGAAACAGCAAGGTCATCTTATACTGCACGCAGACTAATCAATAAAATGACAACTTAAAAACGCAACATAGGAAAGGAAATGGGGATTTTTTGAATTTCCCATTCACGAAACAGGTCTTTAGCTCCTGCGTTTTGACTGTCAGTTCGTCGGTGTTTTCAGATTTAAAATATGTGGATCTTTATCTCTCTGTCATTTAAGGTGCCTGGAATGCCTCCTTTGAGGATCGTCAGCTCTGGGTGGACAACCGATATGCCACGTTTGTGCCAGTCGATCTGAACTTTGTCAGTGCAATCCGTCAGGCCCTGCTGGAGCAGCAAAGTCAACTTTGCCGTCGTCACTAACCGTCGACGTGGGTGCAGTCACTTCTGCATATGCTTTGTCCTGGCCACTTACCCCAACCCCACCATCCCGATTGCCTTGTCTCGATCATATTTATCCCTGGCAGATTTACACTTTCGTATTTTCTTTGCGCCCTTTCCGCCTGTTTTACGTAATTACGTAGGTGCAAGCATATATATATGTAATATGATCAACCTATATGTAATAAAAAAGAAAGAAATTCTTCGGAAAATCAGGGTTGAACTCATTGATTTCTGAGCTGGTGACACCAACCTGTCGTCAGACGAAATGAAAGGTAGATTCTCACACTAGACCAGTTGTCGTGACAGGGCAGGCAGACCAATGGCGTCCAAGAGCAGTGGTCACAGAGTCATGGTAGGCCCCTAAGCGTGGGGGAGGGGAGGTGGAGCACTTACGGCTCCCTGTGCTGGAGGGGGAGGGTGGGTAGTAGATCAGTTGGACTCGGGGCGGCTGGATTAACTGTCATTGATGAGGCAGGGGTCCGTTAGTCGTGAACGTAGGTCCTCTTAATCGGCGTCTAGGTCAACACGATGGTTAATACTACCGGCATTGGAGCACCAAGCCTCAAGTAATTCTCTCTTCCGTTTTTTGTTGGCCATGGCGTCGACCCCAGTCACATCCCAAATGAACCGATGGTTTCACTCGATTGCGTGCCCAAAGACGAGAACAGGAACTCTCGCAGACAAACAACTAGTTTGTGTTCATTAATTCGGGTGCCCAGGCGTCGACCCCTATGCTCAGCATGCACGCAGGAGCAATTTGCGCACGGGACGTGATAAAGTGCGCTTGTCTTTCTCTTTTGGGATAAGATTCTTGGTTCGAGATAGTGCTGCGCAGTGTGAGGATGCCGATTTGTGGGCAGTGTGAATAGCAAAGAGATTTAGCTACCGGGCGATCTCTTCAGAGGTGTCCTGCATATAAGGCAGAGAGTAGAATTCTTGGGACACCATTTCCCCGTTGGGGCTGCGGCCTTGCGGTCGTGTCTGGTGTCTGAGGCAGTTCTTTACAAAACTTATCGGATATCCGTTAGATCGAAACAACCGGTACAGGTAGGCGAGCTCTTTCTCAAGTTGGTCGCCGCTGTTTCTAGGCCGGTGGGACAGAGTTTGGACGCAGCTCCTTTTATGAACTGCAGAGTGGTTGCTTCCTTAATTGAGGATAATCCCAGGAACAGATCTTTTCCTGTGGACGCTTGTTGCGAGACTACCGTTGATCGGCCTCCGTATTCACACGATTAGGAACTGCAGGGTGTCTCATATTACCTCCACGGGTAAACTGTGTGGCTGGGAATACATCATTCGGCCCCTGATTCAGCCGGTC